TGTCTGTGTCCATGGGTTATGCATATATGCATATAACTTCTTTGGTTAATCTCTTTCCACCCTCCACCCCCCTTCCCTCTTCTCTCTGAAATATGATCGTCTGTTGCATGCATCAATATTTCTGGATCTGTTTGGTTTGTCAGATTCTTTTGTTCATTAGCTGCTTCTTAAAGAAGACCCTTCAACATTTCATGTAGTACTGGCCTGGTGGTGGTGAACTCCTTTAGCTTTTTCTTATTTGTGAAGCTCTTTATCTGACCTTCAATTCTAAATGATAGCTTTGCTGGGTAGAGTAATCTTGATTGTAGTTTCTTGTTTTTCATCACTTTGAATATTTCATGCCACTCCCTTCTGACCTACAAGGTTTCTGTTGAGAAATCAGCTGACAGTCATATGGGTGCTCCCTTGTAGGTAACTAATTGCTTTTCTCTTGCTGCTTTTAAGATTCTCTCTTTTTTGCCCGGCCGGGTGTGGCTCAGTGGTTGAGCGTCGACCTAGGATCCGGGCGATTGGGGTTCGATTCCCGGTCAGGGCACATGCCCGGGTTGCGGGCTCAGTCCCCAGTTGGGGCGTGTAGAAGGTGGCCCATCAATGACTCTCTCATCATTGATGTTTCTATCTCTCTCTCCCCCTCTCCTTTCCTCGCTCTGAAATCAATAAAAATATATTAAAAAAAAAAAAAAGATTCTCTCTTTTTCTTTAACCTTTGGCATTTTAATGATGATGTGTCTTGGTGTGGGCCTCTTTGGGTTCCTCTTGTTTGGGACCCTTTGTACTTCCTGGACTTGTAAGTCTATTTCTTTCACCAGATAGGGTAAGTTTTCTGTAATTATTTTTTCAAATAGGTTTTCAATTTCTTGCTCTCTTTTCCTTCTCGCCCCCTAATAATATGAACGTTGGGCCTCTTGAAGTTGTCCCAGAGGCTCCTTATACTATCTTCATATTTCTGGATTCTTTTTTCTTGTTGCTCTTCTGGTTGGGTGTTTTTTGTTTCCTAATATTCCAAATTGCTGACTTGATTCTCAGCATCCTCTATTCTGTTGATTCCGTGTAAATTATTCTTCATTTCAGTTTGTGCAGCTTTCATTTCTGATGGGTACTTTATTATGTTATTGATGGCCTCACTTGTTTCCTTAATAGTCTTACTAATATCCTTGAGCATCCTTATAACCATAATTCTGAACTCTGTATCTAGTAGCTTGCTTGGTTCTATTGAATTTAGTTCATTTTCTGGAGATTTCTTCTGTTCTTTCCTTTGTGACATGTTTCTTTGCCTCCACATTTTGGCTGCTTCCAGGTGTTTGTTTCTATGTATTAGGTAGAGCTGCTATGTCTCCTGGAATTGGTAGAGTGGCTTTGTGTAGTAGGTGTCCTGTAGGGTCCAGTGGCCCAGCCTCCCCAGTCACCTGAGCTGGACCTTCTAGGTGCTCCCCTGTGGGCTGTGTGCACTATCTTGTTGTAGTTGAACCTTGGTTGCTGTTGGCGTCACTGGGAGGAATTGACCCCCAGGCCAATCAGCTGTGAGGACCAGCTGCAACTACAGCCAAAGAGCTGCTGTGCTGGAGACACCCCTATGGANCAGCTGTGAGGACCAGCTGCAACTACAGCCAAAGAGCTGCTGTGCTGGAGACACCCTTATGGATCAGGATTTACTTTAGTGGAGCTTTGGTGTTCACCAGGTGTGCCCCTTGAGTGTTCACTCATGGATGTGGTAGGGTTGTAACCCAGCGTGGTCGAGTCTGACCACCAGGTGCACTGTCTCTGGGGCCTCCTAGTGGGTGCAAAGTCAGCCTGTGCCAGTGCCTTACCCAGGGCCACCCAGCCTGAGCTACACAGCAAACCAGAGTTGGCTGCTACTTGTGCTGGGCTTGGAAGTGTCTAGGAGAGGCCAAGCTATGAGCCAATGCAGGCTGCCACTAGTGCCAGGCCTGGGGCCACTTATCAAGTTGTGTGGGGCACGCTGCCGCTTGTTTGAGAGACTTAGGAAAGTCCTAAGCATGAGGCTGGAGAGGCCAGTTGCATAGAAAAGCGGCTGGAAGTGGTCTGGATGAGCTTGGAGGCGGGGAGGGGTGGGGCCTTCGGGAATCATGGGGCGGGGCCAAAGGTGTGAGTCAGGTGTTGGGGATTCAAATATGGCGCCTGCCTGCCGGCTTTGGGCGGGGAGGGCTCGCCAGAGGAGCAATGGCCTCTGCCTGCTCTTCTGTCTGGGAGAAAGCTGCCCCTCCACCTCTCGCCCTGATTTCGGGCAAATTCCTCCCCAAATGTCCCAGGTTCTTTTCAAGCTGCTGCCCGGTGCTGGGGCTCAAAGGGAGCGCGTCTGAGTAAGTCCATGTGCAGGCCCTTTAAGAGGAGCTGCCTGGGACCCCCGCAGCCTCTGTGTTCCTCAGCGACAGTCCCCACTGGTTTTTACAGCCTTAAGTTGTGGGGACTACTCTTCTTGGCCCTGGGACCCTGGGCTGGGGGGCCTGCTGTGGGGCTGGGACCCCTCACTCCTCCAGGAAACCTCCACTGCCAAGATATCCCTCCGAGATTTAAACCGCGGCACTGGGTGTGGGCCCCCGGTGGAGTCTCCAGGATTCAGCCCGGATCCGCCCTTGTCTCTGCCCCTCCTACCGGTCTTGTTGCTCCTTCAGTTCTTTCATTGTAGGACTTCTGTTCAGCTAGATCTCAGGAGGTTCTGAGTGATGGTGGTTCTGTATTTTAGTTGTAATTTTGATGTGGTTGTGGGAGGCGGTGGGTACAGCGGTTACCTATGCTGTCATCTTGTTCCTGGTTCTGTCCTAGACCATTGGTTCTTGACCAGTAAGTAATACGCTTCAGAATCACTTACGAAGTGTTGTGAAGCTACAGTTATCCAGGCTCTGCCTTCTCACGTCTACCAGGTAAAAATGTCCACAGGCAATTCCAATGCATTCTTCCTCGCAAGAATCATTGACACTTTTATGCCTTTAGCTTTTATGATGAGGAAATTGAGATTCAGAATAAATGACTTGCCTAAGACCCCACAGAGTAAGTGAGATCCAGGTCACCTAGCTCCTTGCTATGCATTTTTTCTATTTTTCTGTATTGCTTGCCAAATATATTAAATTTTAAAGACATTAATATGGTAGTTTATCCTTCTCTTGGTAATATCAGGAAGAACAATATAGGCTTTAAAAAAGTACATAATTCAGCATTTAATTTAATTCAAAATAACAAAATTTACAATTCATGCAAAGGACTATTGCACATTTACAATAGGATTTAAAGTGAATTTTGCTGTGCTTTTCATGTGGACATTAGTCTTTGCCACAATGCTTGCTAATTAGTACAAGGAAACGCTGTGTGTGGCAGAGAGCTGCTCAACCCAACCTCACAGATTGACAGGCATATAAATGCTATTTAGGGCAAGGTAGCTATAGGAATTAAACCCTTTAGAGCTCCCAATAATAAAATATGCATTTCTTATAGTTAGGATTTTTGTTTTACATTTTTAAGTTTTTTTGTTTTGTTCTTTAAAGCTGTGTAAAATATTCTTGGAATTTTTGCAGTCTATGAATAGTTAATGTAGAAAAATCAGTGGTTATTAGGAATAGTGTTCTTATTACAGTTTTACTGATGGGTAGATTAAAAGTCTAAAAAATGTAGCAAAAAAAATTCTTGAGTTTCTGTATTTGGTATTGGTACTATGAAGATATATCTCTTAAAATATTTTTCTTTATTCATAATATAGAGGAATTTAAAAATATATTAGAACTTAAATGTGAACTTGTGCAAATTTTTGAAACAAATTAAGGTGATGAGGCAGAAGCAAGAAAATGGAGCTCAGATTAAATCTACCTCTCAAAGCAGGTCTATTTATATTTCACTGTATTTGCTATTATTAATTTGTTTTCATATATGTGTTTCTTTGCTAGAAATGATACATGGTTGCCAATCCAACTTCTGATTCTTAGGAAACTCCATTTTACTAACAAACCACTCATTTTGACTTGGTAAGTGCTGTACACAAGCCCTTAAAGAAGTCCACCTGCTATTAAACTTTGTGGCTTCTATGGTGTCTTTGCCTGATTCCATACCCTTTGCTGTATGCTTCTCTCAGGTTCACCCTTTGATCTTTTTACCTGATGCTTAATTTTGGCTTCCTAGCATTTGATTCTCTGCTCAACCTGATCATCTTTGGTTTAGACTCACTTTCCAGTTCCAAGCTGCCAAGATTTTAACTCTTGATTCCAACAGTTCAGGAATTCTTGGCATATTCACTGGCTGGTACCTGAAAGGTAATCAGCCCCAAACACTAGCCCCACATTATAGACATCCATTTAGTCATCTGTTCAACAGATTTTACTCATTACTACTATGTGTAAGGCACTAAACTTCTGGGGAATACAGAAGATTAATTTGTGATGGACATCTCCGAAAAGCTCTTAAAGGCTGATAGGGCAAATAATACAAGTATACAGTGATCACTTAAGACATGTATTTAAATAGCTCTTGCGAAGTATATATGCAAACGACATTAACAAAAGCTTCAAACAGAAAGATACTTTACTAGGGAGTTAAGGGGTATATGGGATACAAGGGAAAATGACCAATAAGAACCTGGGATGGTAGGTCATAGATTAAAAATGATTGAGAACACTGACAGGTATAACTAGACTTTGAATGTAGGGTAGGATAGACTTCATGGAAGAAAGATGTTCCAAAAAGTGGAACCAAACCAAGAGCAGAAAAAGGAAGTTATGTTAAAGAAATCTTATTCGTCTAGATTAATTAACGGTATAAGGAATGGAAGAAAGCCTAGGAGAATTGGTTAGAACCAGGTTATAGAAGACTTTGAATACTGAGAAGTTTAGAGTTGGCAAGCATGTACTAGGAAGTCAGAAGGTTTTAAGCAGAAAATGATAATTGGCTCGATTTAGCAGTAGTATACAGGAAGGATTTGGTAGTGAGATAAGCAGACTGCAGACCAGGAAATCAGTTAAGAGTTCAGTACAGGTATATTTTGTTTTATTGTGTTTCACTTCATTGTGCTTCACAGATGTGTTTTCTACAAATTGAAGGCAGACCCTTTGCCAGCAAAAAGATTAATACTTGCTTTATTGTGATACTTTATTGGGGTGGTCTGAACCTATACCCACAATATCTCTGAGGTATGCCTGTAGTCTAAAGTAGGGCGGGCCTGGAGATGACTTTATTCATTTCATTAAGTGCTACTATGAGCTAGGTGCTAGTGATAAAATGAGGACTAGGTCCTTGTCATGAGGGAATTTTTAGTCTAGTGAGACATTGATCTCTTAAAGGCTCCTAGAGACCTCTCTATGCAAAATTTGAGGACCATTCTGACCCTGGCTTGGTTACTAAGGTCCTCATTTAACAATGGGCTGTATACCCTGCCTTCTAAAACTACTTTTCCATTTTATGAGTCTGCTAAGGTGAAAGTATCCCAACCACTTGTACATAAAGAAAAGCAAATTTTTTTACTTAAAACAAGATAAGACAGGAACACTACACCAGACAAGGCAAAGAAAAAAATGACGTGTTTTAAAGAGATAACTGAAGATGATGTAGAGAATGACTTGGAGGTTAGATTAGGGACTAGAAAACCAGTTAAGAGGTTATTGTAATAATCTAGCCGCTTGGTTATGAGGGCCGGAATGAGGAGAGAATAAAACACGAGGAGTCTTTGGTCGCCATTTCCACCACAATCCTTTTTTTTTGCTTTTATCTGGCACAGCTGAGGGATGGGTAGAGGACTCTCGTTTAAAATTGAATCTTTTTAGAAAAATTTATTTTATTATTTATTTATTTATTTTTAATGTTTCTTTATCTTTATTGTTGAGACCATTACAGATGTCCCCCTTTTAACCTCACTGATCCCCTCCACCCCCAGGACCTCCCACACCAATGTCCTCGTCCATGGGCTATGCCCATAAACATACAAGTTCCCTGATTAATCTCTCCCCACCCACACCCCCTCCCCGCCTTCCCTCTGAGACCCCTCAGTTTATTCCAAGCTTCTATGTCTCTGGATCACTTTTTTCATCAGTTTATTTTGTTTATTATATTCCACAGATAAGTGAGATCATGTGGTACTTGTCTTTCTCTGACTGGCTGTTTCACTTAGCATAATACTGTCCAGTTCCCTCCACGCTGTGCCAAAGGTTAAAAGGTCCTTCCTTTTTACAGCTGCATAGTATTCCATGGTGTAAATGTGCCCCCCCCCCAAAAAAAAATTTGAATCTTGAAGAGAGGGACTCAAGAACACAAAAAACTGTTTACTTCTTCAAACTTAGAGGTAATGCTCCTACTGTCTAGTTGCTTCTGGTTCCATTCTTATTTGGAGCACAGTTTACCAGCCCTCACATCGAGTCTGTGAGCTCCCTCATAAATTCTTTGTTTTGCTTGTTAGTCCAAACTGGTTCCTTGGGTTTACAATTAAAAAACCCTAATTGACACGGTCTGTGATGTTTGAGACACCTGTGGATAACCAGGTGGAGACTAGTAGTTGGAAATATGAAACTAGGATAGTTCTCAAAGTGATGCATCAGCATCACCTGAGAATCGGTTAGAACTGTAAATTGTCAGGCTTCACCCCAGAGTTACTGAATATGAAACTCGAGAAGTGGGGCCCTAGCAATCTGAATATTAGCACTCTGGGTGGTTCCAGTGCACGCTTACATAGTTTCAGAACCAACTGAACTAGAGCTTAGAAGGGAGATGGGGGTGGAGATAAAGATGTGTGAGTCAAATATATGATAGTTGCTGTTGGGAGAATGAATAAACTCCCAGAAGAGAGGAAGAGAAAAGGTGAGCCCCTGAAGTAGATGAAACAAAGAAATTGAGACAAGTGCAGTACAGTTGAGGAGGGGGAAATTTAACTGCGGTTTTAGGTAATCTGCAGTATCAGAGGCCAAGGTGGATAAGGACAGAGCCAAAGCTATACGTGTGACAATTAGGAGGTTTGGGGTGTCATTTAAGAAAGAAGTAGTACAGTTAAGAATAGGTGGCGAGAGAGCAGAGGCCAAAAAATAAAGGAGACTTGCAGCAGTTTGGAAGTGTAGGAAAGAAAGTTGGGATTGTAAGGCCAAGAAGAGGTTTTTCAGGGTAGATGTTTCATTTAGCTTTTACTGCATAACACTCTAAAACACAGTTGCTTAAAAGGGTAATTATTATTATCATTCACATGTCTAAGAGTTGACTCTCAGCTGGGCTTGCTCGTACATCTGCAAGCCTAGTAGGGGCTTTAAGCTGGACTGTTTTACTTACCTGTCATCCTCCTCCTGGGGCTCCCTGGCTTGTGCGGACATATATTTCTCGTGGAGATAGAACAGTTTTAACAGGACAGGCAGAAACTAGACTCCAAACCAACACATTGGCACTTCTGCCTCATTCTATTGGCCAGAGCAGATTATGTGACCCAGATTCAAGGGGTGGGGAAATAGAATTCACTTCCTTAGAGAAATTTCAAAGTGACATGGCAAAAGGCATGGGTTCATGGAGGAGTGGAGAATTGAGACCGTTAATAGCATAGTAGGGATGACCTGAGCATAGCTGAAAGTAGAAGGGAAGGAACGTGTAGAATGAAGAAGAATATGTAGTAAAGCAAAAGATCAATACCATAGGTCAGAGAATTAACCTTTGAAAAATGGAAAGACACTTCTGAGAATGGAAAGAACGGAATTTGATTGAATTAGGTTTAGCAGATTAAAATACAAGGTGCCCAGTAAAATTTGAATTTTGGGTAAACAATAAGTTTTTAATATTAAGTATGCTTTATACAATATTTGGTAGACTCTCAGTACATAGTTTGCTATTTTTTATTATTTTAAATGCCACTTGAATATTCAGGACATACTTATACTAAAATATGATTCCTTATTTATTTTAAATTCAAATTTAATTGGGCATCCTGTATTTTATCTGGCAACCCTACTTTGTATGAATTTTAGATAAATCCATGGTAAAATAATTAACAAAGGGATAGATGGGTGCATTTGGGGATTTAATCCTAGAAGAAGTTTGGAACAGCTGCTATGGATGCCGCAACATGTCAGTGAAAGGATTGCTGAGCAGAAGTGAAGGCCCACTTAACAACAGGCAACATGAGTTTTCCTTGGATTAAATCAGCAGTAATATTTCACTGCTGGGAAGCAGCAGTAGTAACAGATTGTTGGTGCAGGCAACCACCTTGGTTTGACTTCAGCCAGAGAGGCCTAGGCAGGAGTTTGGGGCATGATTGAAATGACTAGGGGTCGGTTTGTGCTGGGAAGCAGGTAAAGCCAGAAGGTGAATTGGGAGGCAGAAGATGAACAATGAATCAGAGAGGTGGAAATTCATAGAAAAGAAATAGAATTTACAATATTGGAAGAACAGTTCTGTGTGATTATGGGATTAAAAATCCAATTGTACTTTATAGAACTGGAGCTAAATTAAAAGCAAGAGCTCTGGAAACAAGGTTCCTGGTTTTAAGTGAAATAAACCATATGAAGTGCATGGAACAGTATGTCTGGTACACTGTAAGCCCTCAAATGTTTGTTATGTTTTATTATTTTAAATACTACTTACATGTATCTATAATTAATAAGTGTGAGTGCTTTAGAGAATATTATTTTAAAGACAAATGGCAAGTATACATTGTGTTTTTCACCTTACCTAACAAATGCTTTGTTAGGTAAATACATACACAGTTAGCTACCTGTTGAAGTTGGAGATAATGCAGCCGTTACTATTTAAGGTTGTTTTCTTTACTGTTACTACAAGAAAATAATTATGATGCTCAAGTCATATCTGTCTTCTCATTTCCCCCTAGGTAACCATGCTTTGGGATTTTCATAGTTTGAGTAATTCCTCTGGGCTCTGCCACCCAGCAAGTTAAAGAGGACAAGATTCCTCCTGGGGGATTGTGGTTCTGGGAATGTGAGCGGCTTGTTTTCATGAGATCTGCACCCTGGCCTGGCCTACTGTTAGGAGCTGTCATGTTGGTGATTGTGTTATTTTTAGTTGTTTGTTTCATCTTACATAGTTACATGTATATAAAGATTTTTGAAAAGTGGACATTTTATGGGGATGTTTTGCTTATATGAAGAAAATTAAAATGATTTTAAAGTAGTTACTCGTGTCATAGTTTTCTCTTTCAAAATAAATGAAAGTATTAATTGATACTTTCTGGAAAGAAAGTGAAGACCAAGGAAATGGCTATGCTCTGAATGTTTTAAAATAAGGTAATATTGTCTGTTTGAATGGAGCCTTCTAAGGAATTATTACAGTCTCAGACACAATTGACTTAAATGCATTCTTTATCTTTAAAAGGAAGCAGAATAGGATCATTGAGTAAATCACATGTGTTCGCAGTCTTGTCTGGTGTAATCATATACTACACAAACACATTCTCTAGTCAGGAGGGGAAGGGGACATTTGAAGCAGGATTTGCCCTTGCGGAGACCTTTTTTGTTTAAAGAATAGTGCAGTGAAAGACCACACAGTGGAAGATGACAGAAAATATCTTCCATGCCTTCCTCCCTGTTACACTTCCTCATTCTCCTTTGTTCTCTAAGGACATCTGTTGTAACAATTATTCTGTAAAACTCATAGGTACATAGCAGAAGGCATATCATATTTCATTTATTATTTTGTCTACTATAATTATTGCTCTCTTTTATATCATGCCATTGTGGGTTTTTAAAATATTTTGCTTATGAAAGATATGAAGGGATATTGTAGAAAATTTATTAGTCAACTGTAGACATCTAAAGAGTAAATGTTTTAACTCTGAACTTGATAAAATTATATCTTAGGAATTCTAATAAACTTATTAAGCTACATCTTAAAGAGATATACTAAAAAGAATCTTAAAGGGAGGAGTTTAATTTTTCTTTTTATATTAGTTGCAATGGATTTTTAAAAAAGTATTACAGGCATTTGAAAGACATTCTTAATTATGAACAACAGCACAGTGATGTGAGACATCGGAGGTTTCAAAATAGGTCGATTTCAGATGTTTCCAACATTTTGATAGCTGGTTTGCTGTCTATATTATAGATGCAATTCAAATTCAAGTTTTTACTTCTTATTAGGGGTTTTTATATCACCTCTCAATTTTTCCCGAGGTCGATTCTTTGGGGATTTTTGAAATTTTTGTTTGGAAGGCCTTTTATCCTTTTTATTATGAAAAATTTCAAACATATACAGAAGCAGAGCAAATAGTATGGTGGACCCCCAGGTTATGTTTGAGCTTTAAGTGATATGTGTAGTGCAGGTACTCTGTTAGTACAATTGTTCAGGAACTCAAGAAATGCTTGTGGCTGAATGCATGCTTGAAAGAATTTGTGTAAATCACAAATTAAAAAATATCCAACCATTTCTCAACCTATGACAGATTGCATTTCGAATGTTTTTTGGTGGTCAGACAACTTTTGGACCTATAAATATGTTTCTCATAGAAATAATCTTAAAATGGCCATCAGCTTCTTAGGCCAACTCTCAGTTGAGTCTAAATTTCTTTGCTTTCTGATAGCAGTGTATCTATTTTGTGTGTGAAAGGACAGCATGCCCTACATTGATTATTTAAATAAACAGTTAATCCTAAAGCTTTAATTGCATCATTAATATCAAACAGATGCTGTAAAACCTGGGGAAACTTGGGGCCAGCCCAAATAAACCCTCTTGTGTGGAGCTTGGCTTATTCTTCCTCAGGAAAGTTGAGTCCGCGTTGGCCTCTGCCTTTGTGTTTGGGGGTACTCTGTCAACATGCCTCCCGGGGTGCTGTTACAGACCACTTCCGCCATTCCTGGCTTCTGCAGGTTAGGCATCTCTCACTTACTTATCAGGTAAGTACTTAGAGATATTAAGTCCTGAATACGTCTTTGTCAAATTGATAAATAATTCCGTAAGACAAGGGGTTTTTAACGTGATGACCTGAAATGTGAATGTAGTTGATGGTAGTAGGATGAAATTGGAGTGCAGCAGTAGCACAGCAGCCTTTGATTATATGTGCAAATGAGGGGCAAGAAGTGCTGAGATGATTAAAACCTATGAATAAAACAAAACTCATTTTAGTGATTATTTTTTAAAAACTTACCAGGAATATCTTATACCAGAGGCATTATGACTGAAATTTGCTTTTATTTGAGTTATATTTTTTTCTGTGAGGGAATAAAAACACAAATTTCAGATAAAGCATTTCAGTGAATTATGAGTATTCTTGTTACTTCAAGAGGTAGTATGAGCTGAAAATATGAATAACCCTTTAAAATATTTTTAAAGTCTGAGTCCTCCCCATAATGTTTCAACCACTTATAATGTAGTATTGGCAGATTCCAGGTTGCTTTGGTGTGCTTTCTTAACCTGTGGAGAAGCAGCTTCGCAGGACGAGCCTCCCTCATTTCCTGCACAGATCTCAAGGCTCTGGTGACCATAGGCTGTGTCTAATCTGAACATTTATATCATTCATTTTCAACCAGTATTTTTTAAATTGCCCATCTCGAAAAACTCAGACCTACCTGAGAGTGACTGGATGGGCCTTGCCAGAGAGTGTACAGCTGCCTAAAGTGATTCAAAACTAAACTTGAAGTAAGCAGAATAAATAGGTCTGTCTAAAAATTGTAACTGCTTTCCTTTGTCTTTAAGAGTAATTGGAATAGCATTTTTAGAACCTTAAATGTTTGCTAGGAACCAGTGAGTTAGTTTGGTTAATTTTTGCTTCATTTCTACCAAAAAGTAGAGTGCACTGAGCCTTTGGTTGGTTTTGAATTTTCCTAATGATATTTTTTTAAACATCTCAAACATGACCAGTAATTGTTTATAGGAAGTGGCCTAATTTTATCATATAATACTCTACCATCATCCCCTCCCCACCCAACACACACACAGAAGGAAGACCCATTACCTTACTGTTAAGAAAATGTCACTTTTAAAGAACCTGTCCTTTGGATCAGCATTTGGGGAGGGGGGCAGGAGATTCCTGTCTTGGAATACCTGTCCTAAGGATCCCATATAGGGGGATTTGGGCTGATGAGGTATTTACAAAAGGTTTAGATTCTGGGGGGGAGGGGGAAGATATATATATCTTCCCCCTCCCCCCCAGAATATATATACACACACGCACACACACGTAAATGTAGTCCAATAATGTAATTTAAGTATGAATTTTTTCTCTTAAATACAGAGTTTTAGAGAATAAGATTGTTTTAGGAGCATCAGCACACTGCTCATGTCTCCTAAAACACCAAGATTGCTTTTCTATTTTCCTGAGTTGCATCAATAGGAAAAATATAAAATGATAATTAGTCTCCTTGTCACCTCATCAGAGGTTTTATAGATTTGTAACTTGATGTATAGCATATTTATGACAAAACTTATACCCTTATTTATTTGAGATGACTTTATTAGATAACATCTGCAGGCTATGAAAAAAAAAACTATCTTTTCTAAGCTTTCCATGTCAGGTGGTCATTAGAAAGCTTCATGGGTCTTTTTGAAAAATGTAATATTCCAGCCTCTTAAATAAGCATTTTTCCTGTATGATATTAATTTCTTCCTTAAAATTTTTACTTTAGCTGTAATTTTAGGGTAAAGGGAAATACACATAATAAGGGCATTTAATTTTTAATGCACTGATTTTTAAAAAAGTCTTGTAATAAAGAAGAAATTCACAACAGAAAACCTCTATCTAATTTCTTCAAAAGTCCAAGAAAGTTAGAAATCGGCCAACATTCCATTCACATTTAGCTATATATTTCAGAGGCACACTACCATTACTACAGGACACTTTTCTCTCCGAAATGCAATATGCATAATAAAGAGGGGCTGACATCCATAATTACTTGGCTTTAAGATGATGTTTTCTTATAGAGCAAAATGTTTAGAGAACTGTTTCAAAAGTATCTTGGGTTGAAAAGACCAACCGTGGCAAATTTACTCACTCTCTTACTCCTAATCCGTTGTTCCCTTCCATCCGTCCTTCTCAAGCCACCAATCCCTCCTCCTCCATCTGCCTTTGCACCCCTTGTTTTCTATTTTCCTAAGAAGTGGGAATAATCAGAAAAGCTTCCATAGACCCCAGCATCACCAGCACAGTCACCTACTGGTATCTGCCCATATTCCCTGCCCTCCTTCCTGTAACTACGAGTGAAATGCCCCAGCTCCGAATCCTGTGGCTTAAGCACTAGATCCCATCCCTTCCCCTATTAAAACACAGTGATTCAGCAACTTTCTCTCTCCAGCAGCATCATTCCCTCCCTTTCTGTTGGAGTCCAGGTCTGCTGGTGACAAATTCTCTTACTTTTCTTTGTCTGAAAGTATCTTTCTTTTGCTTTAATTTTTGAAGGTTATATTTTCTGGATAAAGAATTCTTAAGTTGAAAATATATTTTTGTTGTTTTATTTCAACACTTGTCTCCTGGCTTGCTTTGTTTCTGATTAAAAATCAGTGGTCATTCTTATCTCCGCTCCCCGGAATGTAATGTTTTCTTCCTCCCCTCTGGCGGCTTTCAATATTTGTATCATTGGTTTTCAGCAACTTAATTATGATATTCCTTGGTGTGGTGGTCCTGCGTTTATCCCTTTTGGGGCTTATTGAGTTTCTTGGATCTGTAAGTTTAGAGTTTTCATCTAATTTGGGAACATTTCAACGTTTTTTCTCTTCTCCCTCTGAATTATACTCCTTGCTCTTTTCCCACTGGTCCCTGGATCTCTGTGCTTTTATTTTTCTCCTCTGTGCTTCAGGTTGTATAACTTCCACTGCTTACTTTTCAGGTTCAATGAGCTTCTATAGTGTCTAATGTGCTGCTGTTAAGCCCATCCAATGAAATTAAAATTTTTTATGTCAGATAATGTTTTTTCCACTCTAGAAGTTACATATGATTCTTTTAAAAATTATTTTACTTTCTCTTATACCTTATTTGTTTCCAAATTATTTCATCTTTTACATTTTATCCTTGAACATAAAGGGTGTCCCCCCAAAATGTATACACATACTTTGAATAATTATAAAGGCAGTGTTTATTAAAATACATTTCATTTTCAAAATTGAGCTATCAGCTGTTAAAGTGTGTATACATGTTTTGGGACACGCTGTATTTATAAAAGCTATTTTAAAGTTCTTTTCTATCA